TGGTGTCACCTAAGCTGGTACTGTCACTTCCTGCAGGGTTCTTATATTTACAAATCCTTGTGGCACTCTGGAGCCAGGTGGGGAAGGAAACAGCCTTGAAGTGTATCGATTCTTGGGGTTATTAGGACCTCTCAGGTGATGCTGGCCATCTGATCTCTCAAACACTCTGGACTCTAGCAGTGGGGAAGTTCAGTGTGGAGACTAGAACCCACATGCTCTCTTCCAGGCCACCGTCTTTCCTCTTTCAATTCAACGGAACAGTCACCCGGTCTTTTTACCATGTCCCACACAGCTGCACCAGGAAATACATCCTCAACAAGCATAACCCTCTACTAGCTGGGTTATCTTTCTGGGTTCCAGATTTTAAGAGCAAGCCCCAGAAAAAGGCAAGCTTCTGTCTGAGGGTTCAGTCTCTTGGCATTTGTTTTGCAACAGTGGGGGAACAGCTTGAGGCCAGCCCACAGGCACCCTCCCAGTCCCCTCTCCTTTCCATCCCTGACACAGAATGAATGCCGTCATGCTCCAAATCCTACTCCTGGGATCCAGCCAGACTTCAGCATCACTTTGTGCTTCCCTAAAACTAATGGCTTTGTTTGTTTTTGTTTGAAGAGTTATGCTCACATCGTATACATGTGTGTGCCATGTTGAGGTTAAGAGGACAACCTGCATGAGTCAGCCCTCTCCACCACGTGGGTCCCAGGGACCGAACTCAGGTCGTTAGGCTTAGCTACAAGTACCCTTACCTGCTCAGCCATCACACTACACGCCCCCTTTTAAGTTAGATTTTGGTTTGTGTGACTGTACGGATGCTTGTGTAATGGCTCGTGTGTGGCGATCAGAGGACAACCTGGGAGCTGACTTTCTTCTTTGACTACCATGTGGGTCCCGGAAATCAAATTCGAGTTGTCGGGCAAGCTCCTCTACTCGGTGAGTCATCTTACTGGTCCCTTGTTTTGTTTAGAGACAGGTTTCCTGTGTCCAAGGCGGGTCTTAAACATGATAAGGACAGCCTTGAACTCCTGACCCTCCTATCTCTGCCTTCTGAGTACTGGAATTACTGAGATGCCATGCCATGTTTATAAGATGCAGAGCTCAGCGAAGCCTAGGCAGGGACTCTTTAACAAATGAGCTGTGTCCCAAGCCCAGAAACTGACATTTAAAAAAATACACAGAAGGATTTCAGGTGTAGCCAGAGGTAGGGTCCTTGCCTAGCCTGTTCCTAGCCTGTACCTACCCTATGCTGATCCCATGCCTAGCCCTTGTCTAGCCCTTGCCTAGCCCATGCCTACCCTGTGCCTAGCCTGTGCTGATCCCATGCCTAGCCCTTGCCTTGCCCTTGCCTCGCCCCTCACACACTGACCCTGAGTTCCATCTTCAGCACAGCAGAGACAATAAGTGATCCTAGAAGCCGTACAAGGCAGAAATATCTTTCTTCCCAGTATATCCATTAGATAGTCATACATTTTCATTGGATGAAGATTTTCCTTTTCTCCTGTAGTAAGGTGGGTTTGGGTCTTCTAACCACACAGTGGCTGGGAGGCTCTGGGTCCATTCTGCCAAGTCTGAACCTTGGCCAAAACTCTGTCAGGAACAATGAGTACTTGCTCCTTGGGATGCTTCAAAAGGGCGCATTCTCCCGAGTCACAGCAGCCTCTGTGCACCCCTCTACAAGTTTACTCATGGACATTGTCTCCAGTGTGAGATTCATTCACATTTAGGCCTTGAGAAAGAAGAGTGCTGACTGGCTCAGTTAGTAAAGTGCTTGCCTAGCATGCACAAGTCTGAGTCCAGCCTAGGCACAGGAGACCCTGTGTAAAAACAAGTGAAGAGGTAGAAGGCAAATCCTAAACCAGCCCCATGCCCATAAAGACACCAGTTAGGCGCTAATAAGGTCTACTTGCTACCACACTGACTCTCTTAATTTCTCCCTGATTGAGCCCAGGGAGGTTCTCAAATGGATGCACACTCATTGAGCTTTGCCCACTGGGCACAAGCCTGCCTGATACCCAGATACTTCCATCCTCAGAAGATGGCTCTGCTAAATCCCTTCCTTGTATCCAGGGCCTCTGGAGCCTCTGGGCTCCTTCAACAAATCAATGTTTGATGAGTGGCCTTAGATGCCAGGTACTTAATTTAAAGCAGGAGGAGAGGAGGACGAGAGGGAAGAGGGGAAGAGTGAGGGGCCGCTGCTGCCTTTGGAGGGACAGGGGCTGCAGAGGGGAACAGGTCACAGTTGCTGCCTCACAATACTCATGGCCAGTGGCAGAAAGGACCTCGACAGCATCAGCTTGTCCCAGTAACTCTGGTTGGATGATTGGGACCATAAAGACAGGAAGACACGCCCTCTCCATCCTTAAACACAGCGATAGGTCTTCCTTAAATATTCTTTGATGTGGCTGACAAAACTTTGCAGAGCCTGATCACAGGAAGGAAATGGAACTTATGAACAGAACCGTCACACAAGCTCAGACCAGAGTGCTAAGGAAGCCTTAAAGAGATAGCCTCTGTGTAACCATCATGGGTCCTTGACCATGAATCCATCAGACCCAACATCCTGAGTTCATTTACTCCAGCTGGTCTTTGACCTTGGGCAAGGAGCATCCCCTCTGCAGTTCCATAGAGGAGGGTGGAGGACTAGATTGGTGGGTTTTTTTTATTAGCAATAAACCCACATATTATCCAATTTTACTTTATCTGGAACCCCAATATATAAAATAAAGGGGAGCTGTTCATATGGAACGAGAGCATCAAAACGCAAGTCCCTTTGGGAACCCGGCTTGAAAACTGCAGAGTGCTCACATCCTCTTGCAGACACCCCAAGGGCAGAAGGGAATCACCATTGATTTAGTGTTCTCCATGGTGTTGGGAACCCACATGTCACGTGTTAGTGAAACCTCTGCAACAGCACTGTGCAGCTAATCAGCTTAGGAACCGAGATCTGGTGTACTCAGGGTTATGAAGTGGGATCTGCTGGCAAGAGGCAGAACTGGATTTGAACCATGGATGTTCTTGACTCCAAACACAATATCCCAGCCCCACCCCCTGCTCCTCACCCTTTACCTCTGTAGAATACTGGGCTGAATCGATTATTTCCTTGCATCATAAATACAAATATATGTATAAACATATGAGAACAAGTTATATTCTTAAAGACTATAACTCCCCTAAATTATCATGAGATTTCCTTCTGAGGCAAAGATGTAGCTGGTTTTCAGTTTGTTTACACCTGCTAATATTCCATAAAGGGTATTGTTAATGTGAACCAGGAATTGTTGATTAAAATCGGTGCTAATAATTCATGCTGAGTTTATGTCGTGGTTGAGGGACAAGATTGGAAGCATCCTCTTGACCTTTTCAAGTTGCTCCAAATCCCAGTAATCTTGGGTGCAGAGGGTAGCAGTAGACCCGAGGGGCAACTCTCACGGTCATTTAAGCCATCGGGTGTCTCAGTTCTTCAGGGTGTGGATTTTCAGGAGGTAACATCACGGTGTTGTTGCAACCCCTCCCAACACTGCACATCTTTTCTACACCCCCCCCCCGTGCCTCTTCTGGGGGTATGCTAAGAAAACCACTACAGTGGCATCCTGCTGCTTGAGGACCTATAGAGAAAGCCCACCAGGCCAGGAAATAAACGGCAGCGCTCCACCCAAAGGTCCCCCAGAGGCCACTAGCAATTCAAGCATCACAAGACTTCAGGAAAGAAAATACCACTGAAGGCAAGACAAGCTTTAGTCAGGCACGAGGCGTGGCAAGGTGTGCCAGTGGCTTCTCTGTATTATTGATGCCAGTGGTGCCACAGAAATCGAAATATTTCACATACCCCCTGAAGGTACAGAGGAAACCCCCAGCAGTCAGCGACAGCTGTTGGGGAGACCCGAGTGGGCTCATTTGCTGGACTTTGGAAGGAAAGGGCAGAATGGTGGCAGGGAGACTTCGGCTAGGACTTTATAGAAAGCCACCATGGACTGCCCTGAAATATCAGTCAAGAAGCAAAGAAGAGAAGTGTGCCGCGCTGTCAAAGAGGGTTAATAGCCCCTCTTTCTCAGACAAAGAAAATGCTGGGCACGTGGCCCTCACCCAGACCTCCCCAGACCCATTTCAGTCCCAGGTCCCCTGAGTAGGAGGTAAATCAATTGTCCTGATCCAGGTAGGAAAGGTGGGAGGCGAGAAAACAACAAAAGTCCCCATCACACCTCCCAAGGACTTCATACAGGCCTCACCCCGGATGACTCTGCTCTCCTGCACCGTCTGGGAGGTGTCACTGCCACCGCCCTTTGGTGCTGGTTGTGGGGTGGTGGGCAGCTGCCTGTCACTAGGAAATTTCCTGTGCATTCCTAGAGGTTTCTGTCCCTGTCTCTTAAACCCCTGCAAAGGAGAGCAGACAAGAGGGACGAAGACTTCTACTCCAAGATGCATACTAGTTTATCTGCCACCTGCCTTTGCCTCTGTCTATTTGAGAAACCTAAAAAGGAGTATCTTCTTCACTCCATTGAGCGCCCCACTTCCTTCTGGCGACTCGTCTCCGCAATGACCCCTTCAGGCAGCACCTTTTGCTTGTCTGTCTGTCATTTTCACCTGACAAAGCGCGGCGGCAGATGAGACCAGGGCATTTCTCCCAAAGGAGAGAGAGACGCGCGGGCACCCACTCCTGGCCCCTGAAAATCCGCCCCACCCGTAATGGAACAAAGCAACAGAGGCAAGGCGAGACGCGCATCGCCCAACCCGGGCGACTCCACCAGTGTGCGGGGACCCACGCCCCGGTCCCCCTGCAAGCCGCCGCCTGCGCCCGCGGCTACCCTTGGGCCAGTAGCACCGCGCGTCCTACGCCTCCTCACACACCCCGCGTCCCCAAGCAGCTACTGTACCTGCTAAATTTAGCGACCGCCGGGTATTAATAGCTCTAGCGACCCGGGGTTGGTGGCTCGCAGGGGCGCGCGGCCCTAAAGGGACCTGGGGAACCGGGAGGGAAGGGAAGAAGAGACGTAGAAGAGGCCACTTACACCACCAGCCTGGAGATGATCCACGACACCATGGCGGGCGGGCGGGCGGGCGGGCGCGGCCCGGGCTGCTGAGCTGCGGGCAGTGCTGCGCTCCGGGCACGTCTGTCTGTCCGAGCACCGCTGCCGCCGCCAGACTGAGCGCGCCCGCTCGGCCCGGCCCCGCGCTCGCGCGTCGGCGCAGCCGCGGCACGTTCCGCCTGCTGCCCCAGCCCCCCGGGGCTCCGCGGGCCCTCGGCGATTGGGCGGCTAGCGGTGAGGGCACCCGCGCGACCCGCCCCTGCTCGGTTCGTCCCAGCCCAAAGGCTGCAGCCAGGGCGGGTCCTCCTGCACACTCAGTGCTTGGAACCTTGCCTCGCAGTGGCCCAGTGGGCTGGGCCTCGGAACCCCCGGGGAGGGCTGCCCCACCCTCAGTACTAGGTAGGGAAACTGAGGTCCGGTTCTGGACTTTGAAATCTTGCCTACACCTGTCTAGACGAGATTCTGTCATTCTTCACTTAGATCATGTCCTAGCCTCAGGAGAAACATGACATCTTCAACTTCCCCTTAAGTCACCATTACAGCATCTCAGCAAGTGTCTGCCTGCTGACAGTTCTAGTGTCCCTACACAATCTGTACCCTGTCTGCAACCCTATCACCATTCACCACTTGTCCCTTTAGTTCTTTTTCCTGCAGATACCTTATGTCTCTCTCATTTACTTGTATGCGTGCGTGCATGCGTGTGAGCGTGCGTGTGCATGAATGCATGCACCACCACACATATGTGGGCGTCAAAGGACAACATGCAGTAGTCAGTTCTATGTGGGTCCCAGGAATCAGATTTGGGTTATCAGGCATGGCAGCAGGCACCTTAACCAGGGGGAGCTGTCTCGCAGACCCGCACCTTGGATTTTTCTGTGTACCTTCATATATACATCTGTCTTGGCTTGGTTCATCTTCAAGGCTCAGCAGATGGGCTATGAGAGCTGAACGTTGTCTACATTATTGCCCAGATGCATTTGCAGAACCTTGTGGCGTCTTAGGCAGAATGGAAACTGTATTCAGTATAAACACTTTCATGCATTTAAAAATTACTGCATCATAAAGGATTTATCTTGATAACTAAATTTTATGGCGTCCCTTCATTCAGTATCACTGGAAATCCTTAGCCCTTTATCCTTTGGCTCTGCTGCTACCTTCCTCCAATAGCTTAGGGCCCAGTGACCTGCTCTTTGCTGGTATTCAGTGTGTAAAATTCAGTGCGCAATATGAGAAATTCTTTAGAGACATAGCTTGCAGCCTTCTCTAAAGGAACTCTGTCCAAGATGGCTTCCTGCAGAGGCAAGGTGACTTTGGACTTGAGTTGAAAGACACTGAAAATCCAGTGCTTTCAAATGTGGTAGAATGTGCATGGTGGCATGTACCTATAATTCCAGTACTTGGGAGGTAGAAACAGGAGCCTGAGCTAATGTTCTAAGACCAGTCTCAGCTCCCTCCCTCCAAAACCCGGGCGTGGTAGTTCACACTGTAACCTTAGAACTCAGGAGGTAGAGACAGGCAAATGAATTCAAAGTCATTCTTGGCTACTTACGGAGTTCAAGACCAATATGGATATTACATGACTCTCTCTCTCTCTCTCTCTCTCTCTCTCTCTCTCTCTCTCTCTCTCTCTCTCTCTCGTACACACACACAGACAGAAAACACTTTCTGACAATGAAGGTGCTGTAAGAGAACTGTCTTTTGGGGGGAAGAGTCTTAAAGAGCCTATGAAACGCTTACAATGTAAGGGGTTTAATGTAGTGTTGAGGCCGTTTGGAGGCTGGCCATTTCTCTTTTGGGCAGCTGTGAACCTCACAGCCCCAAACCACTTCCCTTACAGAGCCCTCACACTCCAGGCCACTGTACCCCTCGATACGAGACAACCAGAGATGCTCCTGTATTCCAGTACCCCTGAAATTATTCAACTTAGGAAATCATAAGCCTGCCTTGCCTTGTCTTCCTTCAGGAATATATTTGCTATGGCTTCTTCTCTCCTGTTTTGTGGGAATCCCAGTGGTTTTCTTTGAATCCTACATGGCCTGTGCTCTCTTTAGGTAGGAAAACAAGTAGAGTAAACCTATTTTTCCTCCAGTTCTCTCTTCACTGTTTGGCATCACCATATTTTACTAGAGACAATAAAAATTAAATGGGGAAAAGCTTGGAAAACTTAGAAGGCAGTGAAAACTGTAAAGCCAAGCCAGGCATGGTGACTTATGCGTCTAGACCCAGAACTGGGGAGGAAGGTGAAGGGGGATGCTCATGAGTTTGAGGCCCTACCTAGACTACAAATGTGAGCTTCTGTATCAAATAACAAAACACCAAAGGCAAACCTGGTATAGCAATGACCGCCTGTAATAGTAATAACAACAATAACAACAATAAAATTAATAAAAATTTAAAAACACAGCAAAACCACAGAGTTTGGTCATAAAGTACATGCCTTGCAAGTACAGGACTTGAGTTTGACCCCCAGAATCCAGGTTACAAATAAAAAAACTTGCAGTCCAGAGACAGAGGCAAGAGAATGAATCCCTGGGGTTCGCTGGCCACCCAAAGCCCAGACTACTTGGTGTGCTCTGGGCCGGTGAGAGCCCCTGTGCTCCAAAACAAGGTGGATGCTGCCCAGGAGAATGACCCTGAGGTTTAACTGTGGTTTACACACACGCATGCATGCACATCTTGCATACTCTAAAGCCCGAGCAAGACAATACTAAGGGCTTCTGAGACCCCCCCAACTTCTCTCCATGTTCCTCCACCACGCTCACTAGTGATATCAGAAGGCCTGTCAGTCTTCTTGATGGGTGGGGGGCACGGACTATTAATGACTGAGCAGGGCCTTGGTAGCGCAGGCCTTAGTCCCAGCTGTTGAGGAGGTTGAGAAAGGAGGTTTGCAAGGTGGAGGCCTGCCTGGGCTACTTTCTGAGACTCTGTCTCAAAAAGTAAAACAACAATAGCACAACAAGGAGAGCCTGTGATAGCTCAGTAGCAGGTTTGCCTTGTATGTGCAAAGCCTGGAGCTCAATCCTTAGAACTGGAAAATAAATTACAATTTTCAAAAATTGTGGTTTGCAGGGGTCTCCTGAGCAGGGAAACAGTAGAGTGCTACCCCATCTGCCATGCTGTGTCCTTCCCGGACAAGCCCAGTGGGTAAGCTTTACAGGTAAATGGAAGACTCAGGTTTGCTTACTGTGCTCAACTGGACATTGTCACTACTGAAACGAAACACTTAGGTCTGGAGGAATGGACTAGAAACTTAGTGGAACCACCACAGGTTTTCTTCAGCTTTCTTCAACTTGTTGAAGACTTGTTCCTTAGAGCAAGGCTGAGTGATGGGCAGGCAGGGAGAGAAGCAGGGGCCGGAAGAAAGTGGGTTTTTGTTTTTGTTGTTGTTGTTGTTGTTGCATTCCATTTCTCTGAACAAACACGTTGCACATCCTGGCTCTCTCCATCCTGGGCCCCTCCAGTTTGTCCTTGGCCACAGCCCTGAAACGCTGAGACCAGGGAGGAGTTCAGTCTTCTAGACAATGGGGCTCTCAAGCCACTATCAATTGGCTCACTTTGAATCCTTTTTCTCACGGTTGGACTGGCTGTGGAGTGACTTCTGCTTTCGTTCCCAAACTCTTCTATCTTCTGACACAGCCTGCTGTTTTGTATTCGAGAGTTATTCTCTCATATCCTAGCCTTAGAAATTGCAATTTCTCTTATGTCTTTATTACTTCAATTAGTTTGTGGTTGATCACCAGACATAAGCTGACTCAAAAATGTCTCCCTAGTATTTTTTTGTACTGAAAACAGAAGAGACTTCTACATTTTCCTGTGAGCTAAAGTTCCCCAAATAAAGGGCCATGCATGTGTTACAGAGTCTACAAGGCTGGCTGACTTAGTCGAACTTTCTGATTGTAGAAAATTATCATGTTCCATATCCATAGGCAAATCATCTTGTATCATTTTTATATATCTTAATATCCATTCCTTGCTGGGATAGCTATTCTTGATTGTCAGCTTGACTACATCTGAATGGAAGTAAAACCCGATTAACTAAAAACCAAATGACTGGGCACACCTGTAAGGGAATTTTTTCTTAATAAATCATTTGGAGGTGGGAAGATACATCTTTAATCTGGGACACACCTTTGGCTGACAGCCTGTATAAGGGTATGGAAGAAGGAAGCTTCTCTCTCTTTGCCTGCTTGCTCTCACCTTCCTTCACTGGCATTGGAGCCTACTGTTTTGGGATTACAGCATATATAAATTCTGTTTCTCTAGAGCAGTGGTTCTCAACCTGTGGGTCAGGACCCCTTCCACAGGACTCAAATATCTGCACATCAGATATTTATATTACGATTCTTATCAGTAGCAAGATTACAGTTATGAAGTAGCAATGAGAATAGTTTGTGGTTGGGGGTCACCACATCATGAGAAACTATGTTAAAGGGTTGGTCACAGCATTAGGAAGGCTGAGAACCACTGCTTTAGAGAACCCTGATCAAAAAAAACACTAGCCCACCACTGAGTCTGGTTAGCGTCAAGTGTCAGGTAATACCTATTGCTAACAGACCATTGGCTTCTACCGACCCCAAAGCTGCAGGTGTCACCAGGTAGCAACCAACGCCTGCTTATCTGGCTAACATTCCCACTATGTGCTTGAAAAATAACTTGGTTTATGACTTTGTCTTATAGCTCTACAAACTTCATGGAACCATTTCTACATTGGAGCAAATTATTCACCTCTTTTTCCTGCCACCTCTCTCAAGCCTATCATAACAGAAGTTGTCACAGTGAAGGCTTTAGGTCACTTCCTGGGGGTCCTGCTATAATAGGACCCTAGATATCAGTAGGCCCCCAGACCTTAGCATGACTGACTCCATGATGGAAGTGTCATTTGAGCTGTAAAGCTCAGCATGTAGACAGCACCACCTGCCAAAACCAAAACAAAGGCCTAATCTGTCAAAGTTCATAGAGTTCTGGGAAAGCCTCAAAATGTGCTAACCTTGCTTTTTTAGCTTCTCTAATTCTGCTTCTAACTGTTCTTGTGAACTGAAGTATGTCAATCCAGAACATGGTTTTTGTGCTTAAAAGCTCACCCTGAGAAACACTCAGGACTATCTAGGGTCCCAAACTCCTGATGTC